TTTTGTGAAGCACATTTCTAAGTCTATAACTTTCTTACTATATGTGCTAGCGGGGTCAATCAAAAGCTATTTTGTAGAGCGTGTTTTACTGCGTCTTTTCATCATAGAGAGAAATTTACAAACATGTGTTTTACTTTAGAAAAATTATTATACAAATCGAATCAGGACTTATGAGCCACCCTGTAAAATAAAAGTAAAGTTTACATCTTTAATTCGATAGAAAAATATGGATCATCGTAGCCTGAAACTGCAAGTTACTCGAATGTGAAATATATTCTTCATTTCTACTGAAATCTTCGTATCAAAAGTAACAACTCAAGTGCAGATAATGATTTTTTTACTGTAGTAAAGGTGTAAGATTTAGCATATGAAAACTTTTTATCCACAACGATTCCAGTCGGGAGACCGTCACATTCGGATCGGGCATGTCGAGAAACCTTTTTCCCCTAAGTTTGAGCTTGAAGGCAGACAAAAAGTTTTAATCGAAATTTTTGCCTGAGGAAATGGCATCGATGGGTATCGAATGGTGAAAACTAACGACTTAAAGAAAAGTATGCATGGATTTAAGAAACTTTCATTTCCTCGTTTAGAAAAATCATCATTAGCGAATCAGGAGCGAAAAAGTTGGAATTCAGCCCGAAATTTTTATACTGTCTCCATCAGAACTCAACTTTTATGCAATAAAAACATCATATTCAGAATCAGAATCAAAAACCGAGCCGAATGATGCATGTTTCTATCCTGTCGTATCACTTTCACTTGTTTTGAGTTTCAGCTCGGGAAAATAACTGAGATTTTCACCCAAACTGAAAATCAACTAAAAATTTCGAAACATATATGATGCGACTCGTTTTTGAACTCTGATTCTGAATATGATGCTTTCATTGCATAAAAGTTAAGTTCTGATGGTGAAAATATAAAAATTCACTTGAAATAAAAAATGACTTGAAAAAGTCCTATTTTGGACTTTTGTAAATTTGATATAATTCGACCAAAACACGTTATAGAGAGCTCGGGGACATCTCATTCTGTAGAGAATTGTTTGCCCTATCATTCTATGTAGTTTATTCGCAGGTTCTAGGTGCTGAAAACCTACAGTGGTTACAAAAATTGATCAACTGGGTGTATTTTCGATTTTTTCCGCAACCATAAACGCTAAAAAGAATTCAAATAGTGGCTTGGGTAGGGAAAATTGTTGCTAACTAGGATCCGCGAAAACAAAAGTCACCACTGGATTCCCAATAATAGAGTTTTCTAGAAAACCCAAACCCTAGTTTTCCGGCACCTAGAACTTGCGAATAAACTTTTTTCAAACTATGTAGAATGATAGAGCAAATAATTCTCTACAAAATGAGATGTCCCGAACTCTCTGCGACGCTTTTTGGTCGAACTATATCAAATTTACGAAAGCCCAAAACAGGACGTTTTCAAGTCATTAATTTTTTGCCATCGATCTACAAATAGTCACTCCAGTGATCGAGGGGGGGGGGGGGGGGGGGGGGGAAATGGGGTAAACCCAGGCCACTTTTTTGGAGGTGGGGGGGTGTTTTGGGATGGTCTGTGGTTATTTAA